CAAATTTGTATCAGGGTGAGTGACAAACTGGGACCTCATACTTGCACACTTTGACCATGCATGTAAACTGTTACAGGGGTTTACAAGAAGATAAAGGCAAGAGGTTCTGCAGGAACCACAGGAGCCCCAACTGTTCTCCTTTTGTGCGGATCTTCAGTTATTTGACTTTAAGGACTCTCCAGTACCACAAGAATAGAAGGATATGTTGAGGCTAGAACTGAGTGAGAGGACACGTATAGTTTCATGGCAGGAGATATGAGATGTCCTCGAGATACAACCCACAAAATCAAGCTCACCAACTCCAGATAATTCAGGAAAAGATAAAGGATTCCTCAATCTAGGATGGAAGATCTCAGAAACCACCTTAAAGAAATGCTGGTTAATGGCATCATTCCAGAATCCATCAACCTTTAGATATCTTCTGTTAGTGGTGGTGCCTAAGAAAAAAGTAAAGACACAGATAAGTGTTGCTTATTGAACTTTGAACAAAAGGACTAAAGTGGCCTGGTACACTATCCCATGGGTGCAAGATGCCCTGGACCTTCTGCTAGTTAGCCAGTGGATTTCAGTCTTGAATTTGTATAATGGATATTATCAGGTTCCCATGTCCAAAAAAACCAAGGAAAGCATTGCTTTCGTCTGTCCAGGGACTTAAAAATTGACTGACTATTGGAAAGCTAATCATACAAAGTTATTGAGAGACTGGGCAACTTGCAAAATAGCCCCAGAGAATATGAAGTGGGGGTGGAGGTGCTATTAGTTGGACTTTCTAATGAGAATGTGGAGAAAATTGATGGATAGTCACCTAGAAAAAGGCTGAGAAAAAGAGGCTGTCAATTAAATATGCAAAGACATTCTCACCCAAGTATGGGCAAAGAAAGTGAAGCATCCAGTGAAAGAAACTGTGTGTTATAGGGCAGAAGAACTGAACCTAGAGGTGACTCCTTTCCTACCCAAAACTGCTGCAGAGATTGTTAGGGGACATAGCCAGCTTGACGTGGCCACCTCCCCAGGAGTAGACATGCAAACATGCAATGATTCTGATGGTCAGCTCTTACCAACTACTATGGTATTGGAGCAGAGAGACCAGTCAGTAACAAGAGAATCAGGTCTATTAGACTGGTCACTTGGCTGAGTTATGATGTAAACCTGAAGATATAGTTACACGTCTCTAGTTTATACATGTCAGGTGTACTAGAGCAATACTAGAGATTGCGCATGTGAAATGTGTCTTGCATGTAATGGCATATTTACTGCTGTACAAGTGAATTACTGCATGTTTGAGTATGTTTATGTTTTATTTGCTGTCGTGTTTATTGAATTACATTTTGTGCTGTGTTCATGCTATAGCAATGTCTGTTAATTATTTTGCTAATGCTTATGGATAAGTTATACTTTATATATATAGGCCTATTGATATTGTTGTAGCTAGCTAGCTTTGCTTTGTTAGTTAGCCATACTTATTGCTTTTGATTGCTTGCTGTATACTATGGATTTGCAGGTACTTCTGCAATGTGCATGTGTTATGTTCTATATGTAATTAGGCATGTTGTCACTGCAGTATCCTTTCAGGTGATGCTCTGTATGGTGCCAGTGTTTACTGCATCTATTGTTAATGTGCATTTGTTTTATTTCATTTTCAGTGGTACTGAGGGTTGGTTGCCTAGGACACTAGGAAGATCATCCTTGTTGGTGTTTATTCTGTTTATTTGTAGGTTTTGGACTTAACCCAGATGATCTTTGCAAGGAACTGCAAAGAGTTTTGGCCTAGGGGAAGAATGTAACCCCTACCCAAAGGCCATTGATATGACTCTCTGCTCATTGGTGGAGATGAAAGCTCTGCCCTGCATGAGGGACAGGGTGGAGCTGGCAAGAGCTGGACAGCAGGAGACCTTCAGTTTTCTTCAGTCTTCTTTGGGACGCTTCAAGTTCCAAGTTGCACTGAGTGCTTCTAGCTTCCAGCTAGCTTTGAGAAAGAAGATGCAAGAGGCCACCCCCACTTCAGGTTGCTGAAGGAAAAGACTCTGAGAGGCATGAGAGGAAGTGGAAGTCTCCATCATGTCCCTATCCTTAGTTTGTTACCTAGAGACTTCAAGGAGTTTCCCTTTGGGTGAGATCTAGGACTTTATTTTTTGGTTGAGCAGAGTTATCTCACTCCTAACAGGAGAACTCCTTCACTGTATTGTCAGGTATATATTCTTCTATGTATACCTTCTCTGATTTCTGTTTTATTACAATTTGGATAAATGGGTTTCTTTGCTCTTAACTATATGCATTTATTGTTGCACTAGTGTCAAGTGGGAAGAGAGCCAAGCCTTGGATAAAGCTTGGGAAGGGTGTCCCTTTCTCCCTATAATAATGACACAGTAATTAGAAGTTAGATTGAACCTTATCAGATGCCTTAGACTAATAATATTTAAGGGAGCAGACAGATATAATTCTAGCCTGGTTACCGACCCTTTAATCTCTATGAAGAACAGAGTGGCTTTTGGCCCCAACTTACTACTTACCCACCTTGTAGGAATCAAAGTCTCCCTTGGAGAAGAATGGGGTGAAAACAGGCTAGAGATGACTCTTTTGCCTCCCTTCTAACCATTGCTCCTATAACCCATTGCCTCAGGTCCACATGGGGTACCCTCTTATTATATATCTATACGATATATAGGGGAAATAGGAGGTAATCTCAGAATGAAGGCATTAGTATTGGGGAGCCCAAGAAAGACATCTGGTAGGTATAATTTGAGCTGAATCTTGAAGGAAGACAAGGAAGCTAGGAGGAGAAAAAGAAGTGGGACATCATTCCAGGCACAGGGGACAGCCAGTGAAAAAGTATAGGAAAGAGAGTCTGTTGTATTCAAGAAACATCAGAGAGCAGTACATTGAATCATAGAGTCACTCAGAGAGCCTGAGTTTGAATTCTGACTCTGTTCCTTTCTCCTGTGTGACTCTGGGCAAACAATTTAATCTCTCTAGACATTAATTTTTTTTTTTTATTTATGAAATGAGACGGTTGGATTAAATGACTCCCTAGGCCCCTTTCAGGTCTAAATCTATGATGCTCTGACTTTTGTAGCTCTACAACAAACTAGACAAGAAAACCTCTATTAAGTATTTTCAAGTATTGTCTGTCACACTTAAGGTATATCCTTCTCATGTGTGAGGTCCTCAGCTACCTCAGCCTCAAGGTACTTTGTATGGGTTCATATCCACTCAAAACAATGGCTTATATATACTGATGTATATTCCTTTTTCTCTAGTCATCCAAAGAATGTGATTAGCTCAAAACAAAGATATTTTAATAAAAAAGCATAGTAAGAAAATAGAACATTCACCCCATACACCAGGAGCACAATCTCCTACAAATACATGTACCATCAATGGGTAGAATAAGTATAAATACAGATAACACATGAGGAGTGGAGAACATAGGCGGCCAGAGGGGACACATCTTAGGGACAACTGGCATCTCCAATTGTGAGGGACCACAAATGTCTTCTGGAGATGGCATTGTTGGACCTGCTTCTGGCATTGCCAACACCCCTGGGGGGTCGTTCTATCTGATGGTTAGATATGTAATCTCTCTAGCACTTTGTGTGGTTGGGCTCTTGATGTCTCCACTGGGTGAGGTTTTCTGGTTATTCTTGGTTGTAACTGCTGGGCAGGTAGCCATGTCCAGTATCGGTTGTAAGTTGTTCTCTGCTAATGAACTTGTATCTTAAGGGCCATGCAAACTGTCTTAGGTCCAATGACTATTTATCCTACATATTTATATACCTATGCATATCTGCCTCTATAGAGCTAGTGATCGACATACATGCATATGTAGTATATGTATATGTACATGTGTATAGTGTGTTTATAGGTATATATGCATATAGCATTGTATTTACATGTGCATTATATGTCTACAAATATGCATGTGTGTCTATGTGTGTGTGTAGACAGACACTTCCAGATTACTAGAACCCAAAATGATAAGGACTGACAGGCAACTCTTTTCCATAGTTACTGTACCCACAAAAAAACCCAAACCAAAACCAAACAAAAAACCCAAGCAGACCAAGGCTAAAAATAAGTCTTTTCTTTTTAAGCTCCTGTGTTTGGGGACAAGATGGAAACCTTCTATTACAGATAACTGTAGGATGAAATTTTCTCAATATCCTCTTTGACTTAGCTTGAAAATGAATTTGATCCAGAATAAAAGGTAAACAGCATTCCTGGCTTTATTATGCGTGTTTGTCAGTAGCAAAGACTGATTGCCTTGTTATTGGATTTTTAGCCAGCAGAAAATCTCAGTTCCCTTATATGTTATTAATAGTACTATTAATAGTTAATTTAATACAAATTTACTGAGAAATTATATATGTACAGTATTTGATTAGGAACTGAGAGAAATACAAAGGTGAATAAGATATAATCCCTGCTTTAAAGGAGCCTGCATTCTAGTGGAGGAAATAAGAATTGATGTCCAGTATGTGATAGTACAATCAAGAATAGAAGAGGGGTCCAGAGTTAGGCACAAAACATGAAAGTTCAGTGGAGATGGATGTATGCGTATAAATAAGGTTTCCCAAATGTTTTCATTTTCATTATTTCCTTTGATCCATATAATTGTCCTTTAAAGTATAGTATGTCATTTTAAACACACACACACAGACTAATTTTTCCATATATTAGGCATATATAACCTCCATGGATCCCTTTCATAATTCTATTTATCAATAATTGAATTACAAATATCCCCTTAAGAGGGACTGGAAGTAAGATTGGGACTAAAGGATCAAGAGTTCAGTGATTGCCAAAAGACAAAGCCTTTTGCTGAAAGGACTGATATGTTTATGAGTCAGGGATTTTCCTCTGCCTAACAGTAAAATGACCAGGACAGGACCATTTTTGAGTCCATTATACACTGGCTGGTGGTACCACTGGGCCGTGATTAGCTGGTGCTCTGTGGTGTCATAATGACTTCAGATTTCTTGTTGGAGGGGATTGCCTGAAGGTAGAGCGTCTGAGGATACACACCTAGCTTTTCCTTCATCACCAGAGCACAGACCTTTGAGAAGAAAGTGGCATTCTTCTAGATAATTTTTTTCTTATTTGCTTTAACCCTAATGTTTACTCATCAGAACTAAATCTGCCCTTCAGGGTTGGTGCATAGCTACCATGGTCACAAGGTAGAAGTGGATCTGGGATCCTGATCTCACAAACCTCTGAAATACAGTGTCTCCTATTGTACCTGAAGCTCTGACCAGTGAGATGCCCTTTGAAACAAAGGCAAGAGAAGGGATAAAGGGGGTCAGGGTCACCAGAGTTCCTCAGGAACAAATATGCTAGACTTTTTCTTGGGTCTGAGAATGGAAGCTGGAAGGAGGGAAAGCCAAGTTCCAGAGTTGGACGAACTGAGAGTGAGTAAGTTATCCATACTTGTGGCTGCACTCATCAGCTCCCTTAAGGCTCAGGCCTGCGAAGCTAGGCCAGAGCATCTCCTTTACCGATCCCTTAGAAAGGGAAATCTGTGGGACTTTGGCTGAGAGAGTCTGAGGAGTTTACTACAATTTGGGCCAGTAATTAATTTTGAGAGGTAATTTTTTGTAATATAAAACATCATTGTTACGTAGTGGATTCAGAGAAAGGTTCAATCTAGCCTCTCACACATACTGTGTAAACTTAGGTATGTCCCTTCCATTCTTGGTGCCACAGCAGACTCTGGAAGTGTATAAATTGCTGGGTATTTGCCTATATGGATTTGATGAAGGAGCTTCCTCACTGGGAAATTTCCTATACCAATGATTTCAGAGATCTAGACCCCCAAAAGTAGCTCCTTATACTTTAAGAAATTATTAGGGAAAAAAAAAAGGACTGTGCTAAGGAATGAAGATATGAATACAAAAGAGACAGTCCTTGCTCTCAAGAAACTTGCATTCAGAAAGGGGGAAGCAGTGAACAAAGGCCATTTAGGAGGTGAAGGGATTGCCTGGAGCTGGGAAAATGCTCTAAAAACTGAAACAAACAATATTAGGGAACTCAAACTAAAAGAGATGGTGAGCAATTGTGCTAATTTCTTTATTCATGTAATGATTATGGTGAGATAGCTAGCATTTATGTAGTCCTTACTGTGTGCCAGGTACTGTACTAAGCTTTGCAGATATTACCTCATTTCATCCTCACAACAACCCTGGGAGATAGGTGCTATCATTATTCCCGTTTAATAGATGAGGAAACTGGAGCAGGCAGGTTAAGTGACTTGTTCAAGGTCTCACAGCTAATAACAATTAGAGAGCATTCACTGGAAGTGTATAAACCAGATTTCTTTGAAGGCCTGTACTTATTTCTATAATTTGGTTATTGCTGGACCTCCCAGAGGGTAATCCCTTGATTCCCCACCCCCGCCAAGACTCTGGGAAACATTAGGCAGGTGTTTGTTTTCATGGCTTATTTTTTGGGTAGGTTTTTGTTACCACAATGGATTTTTCAGACCAGGGAACATTACAAGTTTGTGAGCTGCAGGCTGTTGATGGAGTACTATGTGTTAACGCTAGCTCTCTTTTATATCTATTGTTCCCAGAGGCTTGTAAATTGGGTTGGATGTATTGTGGCCTGCCACCTACTCTGTGACTTGACGTCTAAATCCAAATATGGCCATGAGAATTCTGTTTCTAGTGGGAAGAAAAATCTGACTTTGTTTCTTTCTGTAAAATACTGCATTCAAAACACTATGCTTCTTGTTGTGGAGAGAGAAGTTAAGGCACAGTTCCTGTCCTCATATTCTTCAAAATATACTCTTCAAAAGAGAAAGTAGGAATGAGAGGCTGCTCTGTGATGTACTGGAGAGAGTTGCTGTTTGTCCTTCTCCAAGAGGACCAGTGACATCACAGGGGTGAAGTCCTGACTTTGTGTGTGAATTAGATTTAAGTGAGGCAGAACAAAGTCACCAGCCTCACTCTCACAGTAGAGAGAGAGAACTACACACTTGGGGACAGGAAGATGTGAGTTCAGATCCTACCTCAGACACCAGTTCTGTGACCCCGGTCAAGTCATTCAACTTCTCTCAAACCTCAGTTTCCTCATCTGTAAAGTGAAGGTAATAACACCTATCTCACTTGACATATAGGCAAAACACTTTATAAACCTTAAAGTACTATCTAAATGCTAGCTATTATTATTGTGAGGATGAGCTAAAGCTTCTTGGGATTTTGAATTTGCATCCTCCCCAGCACCCCCAGGATGCTTACCCCAAGTCAGGGCCCCCAGACACAGCAGCTCTTTCTTCCTGGCTGAGCCTAAGGATGCTCAGAGACCACCACCTCCTGCTCCACACATGAAGGTGGGCTGCAGGAAGCTTCCCAGGACACAGCAACACTACCTGTCTATAAAAGAGGGCTATACTGGGACTTCACATGGCACGGGCCCTGGAGACACCTTGTATTTTCTCTTGACTTAATCAGCAGACCTCTTCCCATCCACAAATACTTTGCCTGGATGCATTTCCCAGTGATTAGTATATTCCTACTCCTCTTATGGTCTCCATCTTTGTGCTTTAGAACTCTAATTACCAAAGAACAAAGGCCCTGTTCTAACACCAGCTGTAGGTCCCCTTATTCCAATTTACCTCAGCCTTCTGTAAGCCCCCAATATCCCACTCCAGATCTGAACCCTCCATTGTGCCCTCTGGAACTCCCACTCAAAGATTAACGCACTTATTCTCATTGCTCCTTCCATTTTGTGGTACTCACTGAGCTCTGGCTCCCCCATGATGACACTACCTCGACCATCCTTTCCAGGAAAGTGTTCTATCTTATCTTGTGCCCCCTGAAATATTCCTGGCTCCTCACTGCCACTTTCATATTCTCTTTCCCCCACCATTTTCTCAGCACCTCGTCTCCCTTAAGGTTCACGCTATTAAAATGTATCACCTGAATCTAGATCTTCTTATCATCCCCCAGAGACATTGTTCCTCCTTTCTCAATGAACTGTGGCTGACTCAAGCCTCCTATCCACACCAATTCCTGTTTTCATACTCTAGGAGTTTTCAACATACTTGTCTGATGTTCCTTCAAATACTCTAACTTTAATCCAAACATGGCCATGAGAATTCTATTTCTAGCAGTAAGAAAAATCTAACTTCACTTCTTTCTGTAAAATACCACATTCAAAACATTATGCTTCTTGTTGTGGAGAGAAAAATCACTAAGACACAATTCTTGTACTCACCTTCTTCAAAATATACTCTTCAAGGGAGAAAGTAGGAATGGGAGTCAGCTCTGTGTTGTTGTTTGTTCTTCTCCGGGAGGACCAGTGACATCACAGGGGTGAAGTCTTGACTGTGTGTGATAGATCTACTAATCTCCCATGATCCGCTGCACCTCAGGTACAAATAAAAAGTTTTACATCCTTGACCCTCACCTATAAGTATTCTACTTCTAATTCAAGAACTCCGAAATTTCATTTACTGATCATAATCTTTTGATCATTCTATCGCTACTTATGCATTTCAATGTATAACCTCATTTTTTTTTTTTTTTGTACTCACTGTGACCTCCAACTCCTGTACTCTTCAGGATTTTCCCAGGCCATTACCCTTACCCTTCCCTTTCACATCTCAACCCCTTGGTGAATGTACTCAACGTTTCTCTAATCTATTTTACTCTCAAAACCACATCTCTCCCCCTGTGTTCTCTTGTCCCCTGTCCTTTGCCTTATTGTAACTCATACTTTGCCAGATCCCAACTCTGGATCACTTCCATCATCTACCTTCTCAGCACTACTCAAGGAGCTGGAGAAAGTCACAAAATAATGTTAACTGGGTCCACCACAAATTTGTGCTATCTCAACTTCACAAGTCAATCCTTCTATTCCTCTCTAATTGATTCTCTATTCCACTCATTACAGCAGCTTTTCCAAAACTACTTTCTTCAAGCCTACTATATGGCATCCTCTCCTGCCCATTTGTCTTCAAACCTCTCTAAAAAAAATTGGGACCATTTACTAAGAACTTCCTTCTTTGCCCCTTCCCTTACCTCATACTCTAGTGACAGCATCCCTCGCTAGGTCTCCTTCACTCAGTGTCTGATGAAGATGTGGCCCTTCTCCTGGCCAAAGCCAAGCATTTTGCATGTGCCCTTAATCATCTTATTCCTTTCTATCCTCCTCAGCACATCATCCCTCCCCCCCACCCCCGCCATTATCTTTACTCTCTCCCTAACGGTTCCTTTACTGTCTTCAAACATACTTGAATCTCCCCCATACTTTTAAAGAACCTTTTCTAGATCCTACCTTCCCTATTAGCTACCCACAGTAGTTATATCTAACTATGGCACAGTCTTCTGTCCTATATCTCTCCTCCCCTTCTCAGATAAACTCTTTTGAAAAGTCATCTACCTTCTGTACATCTATTTCTCTCCTCTTATTCTCTTTTAAATCCTCCTTAATCTGGCTTCTGACCTCATTATTCAATTGAAACCACTTACTCCAAGATAATAATTGATCTCACCTGCTAAGTGATCTTTTCTCAATCCTCATTTGTTTTCAACCCTCTGTGAAATCTGACCCTGTTACTCACTTTCTCTTCCCCGATACTTTCTCTGGGTTTTCCTGTTCTTTCCTGTTCTTCCTTGGTTGACTACTCATCAGTAGTTTTTTTCTGGATCTTCCTCCATGCCACTCCTCATAACTGTTTATGTCCCCCAAGGCTTTGTCGTGGAACCTCTTCTCTTTTCTCTCTTTACTATCTCATTTGATGACCTCATCAGTTCCCTTGGGTTCACCTTCTATGCAGACTCTTCCCAGATCTATAGATAACTGAGTCTCCTTCCTAAGCTTTACTTCTGTATGACCAATTGCCTATTAAATAAGTAGAAGTAAATGTCCTGTGAGTGTCTAAAACTCAGCATGTCCAAAAGGCAGCTCATTATCTTTCCCCAACAATCCCAGCCCTCTTCCAAACTCTTTCCTATTACTTTCTAGGGCACCACACTGCTTCTAGTCATCCACATTCACAGCCTTGGTGTCACCCTCTACTCTTCACTCTCACTCCCCCCTCATATCCAATCTGCCCTCCGATCCTGTTGTTTTTACCTTCATAACACCTCTCAGATACATCCCCTCATTTGCACTCACATAGCCACAACCCTGTTTCAGGCCTAACCCACCTCTGGCCCGGAGCTCTCCCCATTCCAATCCATCCTTCACTCAGCTGCCAAACCTACCATCTTATTAGCAAAGTTCTGATGACGTAATTGTTCTACTTGCTCAGCTCCCTGGTTGATATTTAAAGCTCTCCATAGCCTGGCCCATTCCTGTCTTTCCATTCTTCTTACATATGTACTCCCTTCCACGCCCTCCATGATCTAGCCCTGTTGGCCTGTTTGTTGTTCCTCACACTGCTCCATTTCCTCTATGGCTCTCCCTCCTCTCCTCTGCCTTTTAGAATTTCTGCCTTCCTTCAAGACTGTCTGAGCACTCCCTCCTGCAAGGGACCTTTCCCAGCCCTCTTAGCCGCTAGTATCTTCCCTTTTGATTTTACCTTATATGTACTTATATATACCCACTAATGTCCATGCTGTTTCCCCTATTGGAATGTGAGCTGCTGGAGAGGAAGCATCAGTACCTGGCACATAGTAAGTGCTTAATAAATACTTGTTGATTGATTACTAGAATTAAACTCAGTAAATATGAAGATCAATAAAAATGGGGCAGCAGCGGCCAAAGAAGCACTTCCCTGATTTTTCCAGTTATAAGAAGGTTGTTCTGAACTTAAGGGATGTCAAAGAACATATTGAGATTCACATTGACAATATAAAATGAGCTTAAAAGAAAATATTTCAGGCCGGGCAAAGCTATGATGTAGATATATTTGGTTATTTAACTACAATTTATGGGACAATTATAACTGAAGTTGAACATGTTATTTTCTTAAGGAAAACCCTTCAGGAGGTGAATGCAGAGAAGAAACGAAGCTTTATTCAGAAGGTGAGAACTCTGGTTCCCAAATATTTCAGATAGGGCTCCGTTACATCTTTGTTTACTCTTGTCAACTCTTTTCCTTACTCTTTATAAATGGATGTTTATTTTTACTCTTTTTGTGACTCTTACTCATCTGATTCTGCATCCTGTAAATGGTCCTCAAAATCAGCATGGTCTGGTGAAGTGATCACTGCTCTGGAAGTCAAAAGATGTGGGTTCTAATCTTAGCTATGCGTCATGGCCTTTGGCAAGTTGACCTCTGTGAATATTAATTTCCATGATTTCACGTCTTGCCGACACAATTGATTATTTGTGATCCAAATTGTTTTAACTTTTCTGTGTCTATTCCTTACCTGCCAAATGAGCACAATAATACCTACCATGACTACTTTATGGGTTTGTTGTTTGGATCACATGATGTAATGTTTGGGAAAGTGTTTTGACAACTGTAACTTATTGTACAAATACAAGACATTGTAATTATCAGATCTCTGTTTTACTCTTACACATGTTCCACAGTTTCTTTTCTCATATATGCTTTATGTATAGTGCAGTTCTTTACCCTTGCTATTGTAGGGAATTCAAACTGAGCCCGATACCAGAACATACAGAAGAATCCTTGACTACTAGTGAGAGTGGTGAGTTTCTTCACTTTATTTTTGTTCTTACTGATTTCATTCTGTATAGAATTATTGGAGGAACATTGAGATTAAAACCTATTTTTTTACCTACAGATTCTTATCAATAGCAGCCTAATCTAGAGAATATTTTCAAAATGACATTCTTTGAGGAATTCCCCTTGGAATTATAGTTAATAGTTAATCTCAAATTCAGGAATATTCAACAAAGACAATCCATGCCTCGGAATTTCCAAAGGACACTCTAGTATAGTGCCAGAAAAGTCTTTCAACTACAGTTGACACAAGAGTCTCTGCTACATTATCTTTTCTAACTTTGTACCCCCAAATCTAGGGGTTAGACAACTCTGGTGGCCAAAATCACCTAGAGCAGAATTACCATTTTTTCTTCAGTTTTCCCTTGATGCCTAAGATTCTTTATTATTCTGAGTGCTCCTGTTCAGCTACAGTATGCATTAAGGAGACTTTTGTAGATTACTTAGAGAAAAATTTTATTCATAGCATTGTAAACTAGTAAAATGTCAGTTGCTTGAGAGTAAAGGCTATGGCCATATTAATTTTTCCTTCCTTAGTCCTTCTAGCACAATTGATGTCTTAAACATGTTTGCTGAACTGATTTTCAACAGGAGAAGAAAAACTTGAGTTACACAATGATGACATAGAAAGTTATAACTTTCAGCCCCTTTTTGCTTTGGGAATTACCTGTAATTGACTTATTAGTCATGAGAGATGACAAGCCATCCCCTTGGGGAGTAAGATAGGTTGTAAAAACCTCTGATAATAATCATAGTTAATATTTATGGAGAGCTTTAAGGTTTTCCAGAAGCTTTATATAATTTATCTTCTTCCATTCTCACAACAACCCTGGTATGATACTATTCTTATCCCAACTTTATAGATGTGGAAATAGCCTGAAAAAGGCCAGGTGTCTTGCTTATGGTCATACAGGTAGTTAAGTGTCTGAGGTTGGATTTGAACTTAGATCTTCCTAACTCTAACATCAGTGCTCTATGTCCTAAGCCAGTTAGCTGCTTTTGAAGCCCAGATCCCTGAAAGATTACTCTTATTTGGCAGATTTTAGGTGAACACCATTTGAGACACATAATTATTGGTATCTAAAATGGACCAGGCTTCTGTGCCAATTATTAGATATACAACAACCTTTACATAAAGTGTTTGGTGAAACTTCGGTTCTATTCTGGGTGTCCTCAGTTACCTGCCCTCAAGCTTGGTGTTTGTGAATCCACTCAATTCTCCTTAAGGGATCAATTAGTCAACCATTGAGCCTAGGCTTACAAGGCCAGGACCTACAGGAGCCAATATTGGTAAATAAGGAACAGCCTGAGGACAAGTGATGTACTTCCCTGGCTAGCATTTCTTAGGTTGCTTATGCTGAGCATCATTCTGATGGCACCATTAAGTCGGGGTTAGCTTACTTGAATTTTTGCTGACCAATATTAGTGTTTGGATTGCTCAAATCCAGATTTATTGGTGTTAAGCTGCCACTGGAGAGAGGGGGAGGGGTCAAGGATTCGCTTGACATATAGATCATGGGTGGTTAATACTGAAAGGAAGGTCATGGAGTTCAGCCACCTTATCTTGTGGGAGAAAGCCAGCTCCAGGTGGTAGCTCTATTTCGCAAATACTATTAGGATATCTTTAGTGTTTTATTCACTGAATTATTCTTACTCCTAGATATAAGAAGTGATGAAAAAAAGAGAGAACACCATACAAGGGAAAAGCAATAAAAGGCGCATTTTATCATGCTTCAGGTAAGATATTTGTGCATTGACAACAAAATTCTACTGGGCAAAACCGTTTTCTCCCTACTTGATTTTGACTGTTTGGTACCTGTATAATCATGTCAATTTTGCTTTTTGTTGTAGAGTCCTCTTAATCATAGAAAATTATTCTTAGGTATCGATGTTGTTCTCATATAAGCCACTAAATAGCGTAAAATCTATTGGATGAGAATTCTGAGGACTGATCCAGGTCCAAATCCTAGCTCTGCCACTTCTCACTATGGAAATAACATTAGTCAAGTCATCTAATCTCTCTAGGGCTCAATTTCCTCACCAGGAGTAAAGAAAGAGTTGGACTAGATGATTTCCAAGGTCCTTTCCCATTTTAAAGGTATGATCCCACAAGCTTTGCAAATTATAGGGGAAGGTCCAGGAAGCCCTTGTGGTCATGTGCAGAAAAATGACCATTGAAAATAGGCCTATAGAAAAAACTGGGCAGACACTTAAGAATTTCCTTTTAAGTAGAAGATAAATCTTTTATCAATGAAGTAAAAATATTTGCTATTCACAGACACACACACACATATGTATACATACACATTCAATCATACACACACACTCATACACAATACACAGCCACATCCACAGAACACACACCCACAGATATGCACTTTATACATTCACAAAAATGCATACATACTCATTCACACACATATACACAAATTCATGCACACATTCATGCATTCTTATACAAATACGCCTAACCACGTCCACATATATTCATACACACATACACATATTCACACACACACATATGCAGATATGCAACCATATACTTATTCACACATCATATACATATATATACACATACATATATATGTGTGTGTATACACACACACACATATAGACACAGTTACATATAGGGTTCCATATCTTGTTTTCCTTACTTAAGGCTGGTCTGGCTCTCAGATGTACTGTCTATATATAATTTCATTTTGTTATACTAGAATGTGCACGAAAATAAACCTTTTTCTACCTTGAATTTCAGGTGTTTCTTATGGCTAAGTAGAAAACAGAAAAGAGTACAACAAGAAAAGCCAGTTTTGTCAGACACTCAAAGGTATTTTTATCTTTATTTATGGCATGTTAGTGTCATTTTTAGTATTTGTTGGCATTTGTGTCTTCACAGGCATTGAACTATTCCATGGGTTTGTCTGATGGGAAAACAGGTTGTTCTTACCTATGGAATCCACATATCTACCTCCAGTCTGTGAGGGCACACGTTGCCAGAAGTGCTTTGGGTGCACAGAATTGTTGTCTACCTTTATAAAGACATAGGAGTAGCAGCAGGGTACCAGTTTCAGATACTGAAAGACATATTAGGATACACCTGAGCCCACATACACATAATCCTTGAAGAGCAATTTTGTTTCTGTACTTCCCCACACAGAGGTTTACTGACAAACATGTTACGTTCCCACTACAACTTTATCTTCTGAAATGTTCTTTGCCCTTCACTGTAGATCTTAAATTTGTGAATTTTTCTATAATATGTTTATCTTTAAGTATTCTTCTATTATGGCAGGAAATATTTTATTCTGTCTTCCTTATTTTTCCTCAGAACCAGGGATGAATCCAGAAAAAATATTCCAGCAGTCACAGCAGCCACAGGTTACACTACTTTATCATGTTTAGCTACTAAAAATAGTAGGAAAAATCGAAGGAATAAAATGTAAGGAAAGTAAACTTTTGTCACCATGATTTTGTCATGAAGAGTTAACCATTTCTGTTTTCTCATTCTAATTAATCAGGCAGTCAATAATAAGCACTCAGTCAGTAAACATGTATTAAGCACCTACTATGTGCTAAGTTCAGTGCTAAGTGTTGGGAATACAAGGAAAGGCAAAAAACAGTCCCTGCCCTCAAAGAAGCTCGTAGTCTTATTGAGGAGACAACACGCAAACAACCAGGAAAAACAAGCTGGTAAAGAGGATAAATAGGTAATAATGGAAAGGCAATCCATTAGATTTGCGGGATTGGGAAAGACCTAATGTAAAAGAAAGGAGGCCAGGGAAGCCAAGTGGTTGAGATGAGGATGGAGAGCATTCCATACAATCATACACACACACATTCATACACAATATACTTACACACCCACAGAACAGGAGTGTCAGAGAAAATGAGAGGAGTACTGTGTTGATGAAGAGCAAGGAGGCCAGTATCACTATGTCAAAGACATAGGGAGTAAGGTGTAAGAAGACTAGAAAAGTATTAGGGGACTAGGTTATGAAGGGCTTTAAACAAAAAGCACAGGATTTGGTATTTGATGCTAGAGATGATAGGAACCACCAGCGTATGAGTAGGGAACAGAGGAGTGACATGGTCAGACTTGTGCTCTAGGAAAATGACCAAGGAATGAGCAGTGAGAGACTTGGCACAGGCAGACCAGTAGTCCAGGCAAGACGAGATGAGGGCCTACAATAGAATGGCAACAGTATCAGAGGAGAGAAGAGGTCATATTCAAGAGAAAGTTGTGAAGGGGAAACTGAAAGGTTTTGGCAACAGAATGGATCTGAGAGGTAGGAGATAGGGAGAAGTCAAGGATGATACCTAGATTGTGTGCAGGGGAGCCGGAAGGATAGTGTTGCCCTTGATAGCAATAGAAGTAATAGAATAGGATGGTGTTCAGAGGAATGGTGATGAGTTGGTTTGGGGCATGTTGAATTGAAGATGTCCTTAGGATATATCAGATGCAAGCCTGGAGGTCAGCAGAGAGGTTAGCATTGGATAAGTAGATTCGAAAATCATCAGCACAGAGAGAATTGAATCCATAGCAGCTGATGAGCTCACTAAGCAAAATGGTACATAGGGAGAAGAGGGCTCAGAACAGTGCCTTGTGGGACACCCAAGGTAAGCAGCTGTGATCTGGATGATGAATCTGGAAAGGAGACAGAGGAGGAATGGTCAGATAAGTAGGAACCTAACCAGGAGTATAGAAAATTTAGAGAAGAGACAGTCAGAGAGAAGCTGGTGATATCACCAACAACATCAAAGGCTGCTGTAGAAAGGTCAAAAGGGATGAAGAGGGAGAAAAAGCCTTTGGGTTTGTCAGTTGATTTCTTTATAGAGAGCACTTTCCGTTGAATGATGAGATCAGAAACTAGATTATAGAGAGTTAAGAGAGTGAGAGAAGCGATGGAGGCACCTGTTGTAGGTGGCCTTCTCAAGGAGCTGAGCTACAAAAGGCAGAATAGATTAAGTGAGGGTTTTTTGAGAATCGGAGAGACGTGTATATTTGTGGGCAGAATGAAGATAAGTGAGAGAGGAGGCATGACAGAGGGTAAAGCCTGCTGGAGGAGATGGGCTGGATTGAAATCACTTCTGCAGATCTGGAGTTTGCCCTGGCAAGAAGGGGGACCACATTTTGCACGTGAGAGAGATGAAGGTGGAGTTAGTGGCAGAGGCATTTTAATGATAGTAGATGAAGTAGAAGGAGAAGAAGGAGCTCTCAATAAACAGCAGCTGCGTGACTAGTCAGGGAACCTTCTGGCCAAAGTGGGGCCATGTTCTACTTCATGCTCAAGGCCAAGAACTACATATGCATAGCCTGAGCCACTTCCCTCCTCCCTGATGTCTTTCCTGGGGCCTCTTCCCTGGGTCAAGGCCCAAGGACAGGGCCATGAGACCCCCTGGGTGCCAGTGTCTACCACATATGTAGTGGTTGGAACTAGTGCTTCCTGAGCTGCAGACATATTCTGGGAGATTCTGACACAGGGTGTGGTCTATGTCCCATGGCTGCAGCCTGGAAAGATGTATATAAGGCGTGCCAGACCTGAACCCCGAGAACCACTCTGTGCCTCTCTCCATGAGCAATGGAGACCCTGGGGAATAAAGGCCTGGCTCTCCCCTATTCTGCCCTGCCTTGACTCTACTCAGCTCCTCTGGGGACCCCAGCCTTGGGACCCAAGGGCTCAGGAGGAGACAAGTACCAAGTAAGGAGCCTATTAGTCAATGAATGATCGTCTACAAGAATGACAAAAAAGTCACTGGATTAAACAGAAACCCTTGAAGTTCTTCATGCAGGGGGTTCTTTGGACCCAGCCAAGTACCACTTTGGTGAACAGATGGCTTTCCTGAGTTTGGACATCTCAGGGGGCAGGATTCTGGGACGGAGGGTGTTCAGTCCTCCTTGTTGGGCTGGCTGTAGCTTGACTATAGGAGGAGGGGCATAAAAGGTACCAACCAGAATCTTGGAGGAGAAAGAGGCAGAGTTAAGCTTACCTCCAGAAAACCAGGATTCATTTATTAGCAGTTTGGCCAACAGAATCAATGCCTCGGTTCGGGCTTCAATGCTGCCCTTTTATCTGTACTATTCTGATGCAAAGGCTTTTGGTACCTCAGAGCCTACTAATGGGCAAGATGGAAGCAAGCTCTCTTAAAATGAGTATTCCTGTTCCTCAAAACCTCATGAATAGCACCAGTTTCAACCCCCAAATGAGATGAATACTTTATAGACCCTGCTTTGGTTGATAGGCATCTGTGAATATTCAAATGGACCTGAAAGAAGTTCAATAGTTGCTTATTTACTGTAGTACAAAATTTAAAATACACTATTTAGGGCAACAATATTACTAGGCCTTTTTCATTGCTTTTCACTGATACAATAACAGCAGAAGTTTCAAAGCTACTTACACCATTACAATAATCACAAGCCATTTTAAATATATTCCTTTGTGCAATGAAATATACAGAAGTCAATCACCCATTTCCTAATCCTCAGATATAAGCAATTAATTCTTGTTGTTTCCCCAAAGTGAAGTTTGCTATTTCATTAAAAGCTAAAAGATTTAAATTTTTTTCTCATTGCATCCTTATCCTATCCCACTTGAGGATATAAATAATAAATACATCTAAAAATAGATACATACACATATATATACAAATATACACACACACACACACATTTGTGGTTGAGTCAATCATGTCTGACTTTGTTTCCCTGTGGACTTTATTTCAATATTTGGCAAAGATACATTTCCTTCTCTAGTGCGTCACTTTTTTTCAGAGCTCTCCACTATGACCTATTTGTCTTGGATAACCATGAACAGCATAGCTCATAGTTTAACTGAGCTTCACAAACGCCTCCACTATGACAAGGCAGTGGTTTAGGATGTGTCCCTGTGTTGTGTATGTGTACATGCCTATGTACATGGGTGTATGTATATATGTGTATATATATAAAATATATAATATAATTAAATTACATATAATTATGTATAATTAAATTACACACAACTTTATTATGTATAAATATAATTATATATAACATAACACACAATATAATGCAATAATAATATATAAGCCGGTATGTCTTTGAGGATGTGTGTATGTGCATATATATAGGTATATATACACACACATGTGTATATATACATACATGTATATATACATACAGATGTATATATACATACATATATATACACATATGTAATCATATCATCTAGAAAAGATGTGATGCTGTACAGACCTAATCTTATACATGAATATATACCTATTATAGAATATATGCCTATAGAAGGAGAGAGTAAGTCCATAACTGAGTTTTCCTAGTCACCTAGATTAAGAAGCTAATCAAAAAGTAATGGTTATGAAGCCTGAACAATTTTTTTAAAAAAGCAATAGGGTCATTTATATTTGTACCCATATATCACAATTCAAAGATATTTGCTTATTGTAAGAAAGTAATCCATTATAAAACATTTTCAGTTCTCTAGTTATAGTCAAAGAAAGTTTCTATGAAAGGACATTACTAAAACATAATTAGGACTATTTCCTCAGGCCTAAGCCTGTAGTTACAGACTAACCATTAATAATATTCCAAGAGAAAATTCCTTTAGCTCTCTTTCAGTTCAGGATAAAGTGACAAATCCCTTTTGGAAGATCCAATAACACTAGAGAATTCCATAGTGTTCACAGGCTCAATCATATAGGCAGGAAACATTTCTGTTCAGAAAGGTAATAGCAGAATAGGGAAACTGAGTCAAGAAGATGCTGTCTTTATCATTGAAAAGCCATCTTCTCAAATATCTCAGCCATTAATGTTTGCCAGCAGCTAATTCCAGAAGTAGCCTTTTCTGAGCAGCGTTCATCACTTCCCAGGAATGGTGACTTAAGGGCTTAAGAAAACGCATTATGCTGGAATTTAAGATTTAGAGCAAATTAAATTATAGTTCAATCCCATAAAGCAATTTCTACAACTTAAGAGTTTAGAGCAGCATACAGTGGTTTTTCTTGGTGCAATAATGGTTAACAACAAAAACATTCATAAATAGTACTTACTGAGTATGTTTTTCGAAAAGCATTCATTCATCATTTTACTTTTCCAGGATAAAGACATTTTGATGTAAAAATCAGTTAAGAAATAAACAAAATATTCATATTCCAGATGTTTGTTCATGAAGTGAATACATAAGAATTCACACAGAACCCAGAAAATTCGCTAAATGACAAATTAGTCATTCCACACTGAGGAATGTGAGAATCATGGAGAGTCTTAGTATTTTTTGCAAGATAAGAAAATTTAAAAGTAAACCAAGAGAGCCCTGTTTAACTCTTACAGGCAGTCTTTAACCCTGTGATGATTAAAAAGGTTTGAGAGACAGTTTGTGGGTAATTTAGTCATTTAATTAATAAGGCCAGTGGGTTATCAATAAAAGGATAGTCATTTGGCTA